TGTAAGGAGTTATAGCCAGAGTCTCCTGGTGGGAGAGCGAGAATTTGCGTATAGATCTATACGGGGTTGACACCCCGCACCTTCGCTGTTCGCTACAACTAGACAGACCAATCTAGGGTGACAAATGTCTTTTCCAAAACGAGGGCGCCTGAGAAACGCCAAAACAGGCTTCCATCATATTAGTATGGTTATAACGACTCAATATGTTATGTTATCTAGAAATTTATGCAAGGAAAAACCTCATAAATAAATTTTGGCACGTTGTGTTGACTGTACTACACATGATAAGTGATGGTCCGCATTTGTTGCGTTGACTGTCCTTTTTCATTGCGTAGAATGTCCACAATCGCCATGTTGATTCTTTCACCTAACAAGTATAGAGTCTAAATACTGGTATTTTACAAATTAAAAAGCGTAGGACTTTATGGAAAACGTTTGTAAACGATAAACTAACCCACACATGTACACAGTTGGAAATAGAACTTACGAATATTTCATAGCAGAAAATATAGGATTTTTTGGAGAAAACGATTTTCTACGATTTCGATAACGATAAACTAGAACGCACACTCAATTTTACTCGATAAGAAGAACAAGATTTTCAACCATATTCTCTTTTTGAAAATAAGGGATTTTCTGGAAACGGTTGACTATTACTATTCAAAAGAACTATTCTCTAACACAACTCGACTTTATAAATTTCACTACTTTTCAAAATCATTCCTTATAAGGATGAACAAAAGTAACGAAATGCACACATATATCCATGATTTTTCAAAGCAAGGCTTCAAACGATTTCATAGAAAATATCGGATTTTCTAAAAGTACAATAAGAACGATTCTAAACGAGTGTAAACGATTTTATACAAAAATGCTTATGAACTCACCAACTTTTTAGTTGACGCTTTTCAAAACAACTTGTATTCTCAGGGATCTAGTAAGCAGGTAACAAGGGACGCGGATGCATGACTATTTAGCTGTAGTTTGGAATATTCTGCTTATGTCTCTTTTGTATAACTCGAAGAACAAATACAATATGTAAACAATGTAAGTTTGTTATCTCAATGTATGATGTTTGGATTGCTCTGTTTCATTTATATTCAATTGTTATGATACTGCACAATGAAGTCATCCGCCTCCAGACGTTTCTGCCGTCTGGTCCGGGGGTGTGACACATTTCCTTTTTTTTTTAAATCTACCAAATCCTCAGTTTGAGTTCAGACACCCCCGAGAGTATGCCTGAATACCTCAAACCAAGGCTTTGATTCCAACTTGTAACGTCCCAAAATTTAAGACTAAAATTTTTGATTTTATAATAATAAAACTATCATCCAAAATGTTATCATAAAACCATAGTGAAACCAGAGTATGTCAAAATCATCTAAATACATCAGAGTTAATTAGAATGCGGAACAATATGGTGCATGCGATGCGATCATCCCGAGCTCTTCCCCTTCGTTTCGGAAGTACCTGAAACATAAACTGAAAACTGTAAGCACGAAGCTTAGTGAGTTCCCCAAAATACCACATACCATACATATCAAACACATAATGGGCCCCGCCCGACATTGAGCCCCGCTTGGAATAGATCTGTTAGTCATCAAGCCCCGCCTAGCATCGGGCCCCGCCCGGTATACATGAGAACACATAAACACATGCAAGAATCACAAAGATAAATAGCATATAATATAATCATCAGGCCCCGCCTGTTAAACATATCAGAAAAACATACATGCAGAGTCACGCAGACAAATAGCATCCTAATCATAATAAACAATGGGTCGACATTGGTGTCTTTGACCTGCCAAACACAGTGAGGAAACTTACCTCAGTTAGCTGTCAGTCAAACATATGCTCGGGCTGCTGAACCGGAGAATCACCGCGCTAACCAATCAAATAAAACCCCAATTAGTAATTGGGACATAAACCATAACTGGGAATCTAGTTAATTTGTCTAATACCCAGGGTAAAAGACCATTTTACCCTTCCCTCACTTGGCCTAATAACCGAGGCCCACCTGAAAGGCACTAAAAGCCCAATAGTTGCCCAATTCCTAAAAGACACCCAAAGTCCAAATATGGCCCAAAACCCAAAAGATATGCCATGTCAAAAATGGGTCCAAGTCTAAAATCCCATCACATAAAAACTCACGGCCCTACAAGGGCCCAAAGTATCTAATTCCAAAATAACCTGAAATAAGCCCAAGTCTTCCCTCTGGTGAGTACGCTCAACGTACCCTTGGAGTACGCCCGACGTACTCAAAACCCTCGCAACATCGAGACCTTTGGTACGTATGCACAACGTACATATGCGTATGCCCTGCGCACACTCCAGATGACAAACTCCATAATGGATAAAGTTTCCAACTTTGTCCATTAGAATGGTCCAACCAACCAAGATATAGTCTTCTAGTCTCAAAGGGGCCAAAAGTGCATCTTTTCCAATATAATCCATTAAGTCCAAGTCTCAAGCTTTTAGATCTGAATTATTATGATGTTTAGATGGATAAAGTTTCCAACTTTATCCATAACAAGGTCACAAACTTTCAAGATCTAATCTTTATGCACTTAAAGTGACCAAACTCTCATAACACCCAAAACTAGTGTAACATCCCAAAAATACAGATAAAATTTTGTTTTTAAATTCATTCAATTTATAAGAAATTAATATCAAAATAGTCGAAAGAGTATAATAGTAACATGCTATCAGAGTACATATTCCCAAAATCACTAAGTGCAGAAATCATTGGGTGATGCGGTGCAATCAAGCCGGGCCCTTTCCCTTCGAACTTGAAGTACCTGAAACATAAACTGAAAAATATAAGCACAAAGCTTAGAGAGTTTCCCCAGAATACCACATATGAAATAAACATACTGCCAAGCATATCTGGGTGCTTGCCTACCCTTTCGGTCTATTTCAACTGGATACTATCAAACATATATGGGTGCTTGCCTACCCCTTCGGTCTATTTCAACCGGATACTATCAAGCATATTTGGGTGCCTGCAATCCGCTCCGTTCTATTTTAACCGGATACTGGGTCTATTTCACCCCTTACTAGGGCTGTTCACTATTTGGATAAAACCGAATTGTCCAATTGGACAATATGGATTGGACTATTTGGTTCGGATATTCGGATTTTTGGATTGGTTTTCAATAGAACCGAATTATTATTTTGCATTTCGGATTGGTTTTGGTTTATAAAATAAGAACCGAATAGTCCAAAAAACCGAATAACAATTTATTATTTATTTACTTTTAATATATCTTTAATTATTTATTAATTTTGTAATTTATTTTTCAAATAGGTTCAAAAAGTTTCACCCAATAACAAAAATTAATATTCATTTTCTCTCAAAAGGTTTTTATTTATAAAATATTAAACTATAATATATGTTCTTAGTAGTTTACAAATTTCAAATCACAACCAAATAATTTGTTTTTGTTTCTTGTGTAAAAATGGGTAAAATTATAATTATATGTCGTTTTAAAATGTTTCGGTTGTTGAAAACCGAATTATTAGAACCGATCCAACCAAATTGAATTTGGATTGGATCAGATCGGATTTGAATTTTGTTTGGACTATTCAGACTCATGTTTTGAAAACCGAAATCAATTTGGATTCACTTGATTGGATCGGATCAAACCGATCCATCCAAACGAACACCCCTATCCCTTACTACTACCACATAATATCATAACAGAAATCATAGAGTCATCAAGCAAATACATGCATAACTGACAATTATCACAAAGAAAATCATCGCACTACATCATAAACTAGTGGGCCGACATTGGTGCCTTCGACCCACGGATACTGCGAAGGAAGACTCACCTCAGACTGTAGGTATCAAATCGCACTCAGCGGATGACTCACGGATAATTGCCTAAATGTTATGTGCGCTATCTTGATGTGTTTAATATGTATGTGCGACATGCTATAGTTATTACTTGGTTAAACTGTTTATACTTTATCATACTTAATAATATGATTGGGTAGTGAAGGGCTGTGCGAAATAACAAATGAGAGGTTGTGATAGGGTTGTGTGAGATAGTGATTATGATATATTAGTGAAAGCTGTGCGGAATAATAAGTCGTCTCTGCCGTGTCTATCCTAAGTACTTTTGTACTACCGTGCTTATCAAATGTACTTTTGTACTGTCGTTCTTATCCCAAGTACTCTTGTACTGACGTGCCTGCTGTGACTATCCAAAGTACTAATGTACTGTCGTGTTGTCATGTTTACCTAAAGTATTATCATACTGTTGTGCCTAATCATCTAGGAATTTTAGTTGTTTGTTGATTAAGATCCTTTAAGAAAGATCCCTCGAAATCATCATATTAGGATTAGTAAGTGAGAATAACAGGAGTGGGGTAGTTGAGCTATTTGAATGCTAAAGAATATATAATTAAAATTTATAATATTGTGGGTTGAAAACCCTATGTACTCATCAGGTTTCCCAACCTGGCCCACTCAGTTTCTTTGCATCACAGGAAATTATATATGGATAATAATGTATGTATCTGCTAAGAGATTGAAGGAGATGTAGACCGTTAGTGTAATAAAACGTAGTAAGTCTTCATTTATGCTTATGTTTCTGTATTGACGATGATATCCCGGGTTTTATAAATAAAACACATTTCTTCAAAAATGTTTTGATAATAATATTATCATGTTTTTGAGGCAAATTCCGCATAATTAATATTTTTTTAAAAGAATACTCTGATTTAATAAGCATTAACAAATCGTTATTTTCTGGTTGTAAAAAAATAAGGATGTTACAACAGTGTATTTAGAGTTAATTTATACCCATATTATTTGTTGGGTTTAACCGTCTATGAGGATTCAAACTTGAACTCTATGAGGATTCAAACTTCATAAATCTAAATCGTTAATAATAAGTTATACACCTCAGAAACATGAATTTCTTTTGCATTTAGGGGCGTAGTTGTCAATTACTAGATATAAGGGACTAATTTGACATCATAGCCAAAACATAATGACCTTTTTGAAATTCATAGTTAGTTGTTCTGGGTTTAGCATCGCTGTCAAGAGTCAAGAAAGAACAGTGGCGTCTTCAATTGAACCCAAGGTATCCAATTATCATAACCATGGAGCACAAAAGTAGACAAAAACACATACATTTGTTTGAACTGGCCCAATTTGAAGTAAAAGTGCATCAATTTTTGTAGGATTCACAAGTTTTTGACAGCAAAAGCGATCAATCAAGTGTTGTCAACTTCAATCCAATTGGCAGAGACAATTACAAACGAGTGCTACTACTACGAATTGATAACTCATCTCAGAGCAAAATTCCTCACGCAAGGTCGAGAACGGTAGAGGGCTCCGTACGCCCCTATTGGAGGCATGAGTGTCGCTCTACAAGTTGGCTCGGCTGCCAGCGGTTGTTTATTACAATTGAAGTCGATTCGATCATCGTGCCCGTGCTTTTGAATGATTACGATGCAGCTAGTGGGGGTTTGATTTGAAATTGCGGTAAGAAGAAGGCGATCATCGTTTTCGCGATAGGATTTTGGTTGCTTGATATGGCTAATAATGTCAATGGAGGTTCTTCTAAAGCTCTCGCAAATGATCTTACAGGTAAACTTCTATCCATTTGTATCTATATGTGTGTGAATTCCTGAACAGTATGGTTCACGTTTTTGTTCAATTTCTATAGAAATTCAGTTGGTATTTGTTATACATTTAACTGGTTGAAGATTTTTACCTAATTGTTTACCTTTATGGAATCTGAATTTGTATGGAGTTGCAGATAAAAGATCTTTAAGACACAGGGAAGATGAACTCCAGTCATTGAGATTGTTTTCGATGGACTTGGTTCCTGTTGGGTAAGACAGTTCTCATTTCACTAACATTATAGTAAACAAAAAATGAGCAGTTTTCATCAACAAAAGCAATAAGCTTCTAAAGTATACCATTTTACCAAATAAAATTGCACATTACTAATGCTAAACTCGCCTTTATTTGCTTGTCAGTAATTTTATGCTATCTTTTCCACTCACATTTCCCTACAAAATATGACTTGTTTGATCAAGGTGCACAATAAAAGTTATGATTGAATGTAACATTCCAAAAAGAATCACATATTTAGATCAAATCATCAGTTGATTTGGGACAAAGCTTTTTGTTGGTTGTAAAAGTTTTCATAAGTTGTCTTACTGCTTAGCTTTGTATATATTATTACATCTGCAAGAACTATTTTTGACTTATTTCCATTTGTGCAACCATAATGCAGATTCTTTGCAGGGTTCATTGTGTTGTTAATGGTTCTCTTAATCTGCCTTTTTGTCCCCCAACAGGTATGTTACTCCTCCTTTCTGTTTATGATTCATATGTTTTTCCATCAATTTATCAAACTGCTTCTTTAGTAATCCTTTAGTGAGTATAAACAGTAAGTAGAGTTCAATTTACATTGCTATATATTTCTCCCCTTGTTTGTGAAATATCTATACTAGGACAACTTTCTTGACTTCCAAGATGGTGTGGGCCATAGGACTAGTGGAAAGTGGAAACCTTCCATACTTTTTATTTTCATTTTTCTTCTCCCCTTTAAGATATGGTTATGAAAAATAAGGTTGTGTCTTAAAACGTTACATTCTTTCTTGCAGAATGTTTTTTTTTTTATTTTTTTTTTATTTTTTTATTGGAGTACAACATTTGTAATGCTTTTGATTTGGTGAATAACCAATGAAAATACATTTTTTAGTTTTCATATGCATTAGGTATAACCGATTATATAATCGTGTATGATCATTAATAAAAGTTATAAATCATCTTTCTGTAGAAAAGTTGTGACTTTAAAGGGGACCCTTGCTTTTGATTCATGATTATGATTATCTTTATAACTGATTAATTACAGTTATAAACCCCAAGTGTATGCAATTTAAACTTCTTAATGAGTCTTTTACTCATGTTTTGATGCCTGTTTATGCCATGAGGAAGTATATCTTTAAGGCCAACATGCACTGCTTAATGTAAGGAGTTTGAAATTAGAAATTTAGAAATTCTTATATTATTTGTTTTTGTTTTTATGTTAATTTCATGTTTTACATTGGTATTCCTTTTTCTATAACAATTTTGTGATAAGTGCTAATAATTTGTAAACTGAAAAAAGAGTTATAGCTTTTGTCGAAACGAAGTTTAAAGTAAATTTAATAAGTTTGACTTTATCACATGGTTTAAATTAATACATCATATCTCACATATAATGTTATTACAACCTTGGAATATTTTCTCATAAAGAGGTATCTATATAATTTATAAAATCAGCTAATATTGGCTTAAACAACCTTTTAGAGCCTTTTTCTTTTCTCCATTGACTCCTGTATGAGTAAAGTGGCTAAAAATGTGTAAAGATGTTTGTCTAGATAAAGTTCTGTATATATAAAGTCTGTTTCTTTTTACAAATTTTGAACGAGACAAAATGACCCTTTTACCCTTTCATCTTGAAAAAACAAATTCCACAACATTTGATAGGAAAAAAGAAGGACAAATAGGTAAAGAGTTAGTATTTTACTACATGTTTATACTCTTACATGAGAGACCCTTAACTTTGGAATTAATGACATTTTCTACCCAACTAAGTCTTTTTTTTTTTATTTAAATATATTCGTAAATGAGGCCCAATATCCAACACTTATGTCCACTTCATTGTTGAGGGTCTTTCTTGTTGTTGTAGCCTTTTCATTTTCATTGTCTGTTATGTATTTGTCTTGATGCTGTTAATGTTTCAGTTATTTTGGTGTGTATATAACATCTTATTAGCTTTTCAACTGATATAACAGTACTTTCAAGTAATAATTCATCAACTTATTTAAATTTTAGTTGTTGGTTTTTTGTTAACATGTTGTCTCTCTTCTCTTGGAAAAATGGACCATAAGATTTTCAGAGGACCATTTTGTTTCCACTTTCTTGATAGCGACTCATTAGCCCATCACTTGCAGCCTTTTACCAGTCGACTCATTCATCTCTTCTTTTTATTATTATTTTTACTCATAATCACATTTATCAAATAATCTTATCATATTCAATAAAGATTCACCTTAATAATGGTTTATATCTTTTCAAATTTCAATCAACCACCTTTCATTGGGCCCAACCACCACTGTGTGGGCCGGGCCGGGCCTGTTCAGGGTAATTGGAAGAATAACTTTTTAGTTTTTACAGATTAGGGTTTTAAGTTTTAACACCACATGCTTTTTCACAAGTGGAAATATGCTGATTAGAGATGTGTCTATTTTGTGTTGTTAATTTATTTTTCTACATAAAGTTTAAAGGTAAAGAATGGTCCCTTTATGTGTACCCTTCTTTCTTTCATCTTTACAATTATTCTGTTTTATTCCTAACTTTGGAAAACGGAATAAATTCTTACCATTAAAGTTCTGGTTTGCCTTCATTGCATTCGCACCTTTGTAACGCTTGTTACCCAACTCAATGCCATGAAGCATTTTTAGTAATATTCTCTTTGTCAAGAACATTTCCTTTTTTTTTTCCCCCCCCCCTCACAGTATGTGTTATCACTATTAATATAAGTAAATAATACGAATAACTAAAATGGGTGCGCATTTTATGTCCTTAAAAGTTTGATTTGAAAGCCACGTTAATTCATCCTTCAATTTCCATTTTAGCGAATGTTCTCCACAAAACAATCTACATTTGTCCCGACACACACATGCATGCATCGAATACGGATGTAAATGTAAAATGTACAAACATATGAAGCCATGTTTTCCTTTCCACTCCTAGAATCTTTGTGAGAATTTGAAACAGAATGTATTATTATTATCATTATTATTATTATTTTTATTATGTTATTATCATTTCCAAGAAATTTCGTACCCCCATGTCAATATATGATTTGATGACGTCTGAAATGACGAGAATACCCTTTTTACTTGTTGGGATATTGGTTTCAAGATGCCATAACCAGAGACAAAACTGGCACTTGTGGTGGTACTTGGCAGTTGGCAGGGGGGAGAGCAAATAGTCGCAGGCGGAGCCAATCGAGTACCGCTCTTGTGTTGTGTTGGTTGGTGTGCGAGAAAAATTGGATAAAAGTTGAATGGTTAAATATTCATTTAGGTGGCCTTTTTTTTCCCCTCCTACTCTTTCATGTTAAATATTCAATTTCTATGCTTCCATACAAAGTATCACCGTATGCGTCACTCACTTCACTTATTTCAATACCAAATTATTGCTATATTTCTTTTTATCGCCAATATATATATATATATATATATATAT